ACGGAAGACGGCATGGCAGGTGTGGCCACACTGCTGCTCCAGCTGCCTGGCGGGCCCCACGTGCCCAACGGTGCCTGCCTGGGCTCGGCCCTGGTCACGCTGCGGCACAGGCTGCATGAATACTGTGGGGGTGGTGGGGGTGCTGGGGGCAGTGGTCACGGGGCCGGTGTAGGTCGGAAGGGACTTTTGAGCCAGGACAATCTCACCAGCATGTCCCTCTGACAGGCTGGGTCCCTCAGCCACAGCAGCCAAGTGCCCATGGGGGCCCCTGGACACTGTCCTCAGAGGACTCTGGTTTTCCTTCCCCTGGGGGTCCCCAGACAAGGCCTCCTTCGTTGTGCATTCAACAATTATTTAGTTCCTACTGTGTGCCAGGCACTGTTGAAGGCACCGGACCGGGCAAAGGGGAACCGAGGCAGAAGTGTCCCTAGTCTTGTGGGACTGATGTGGAAAGTCAACTGGGCATCCGAGAAGCTAGATAAAAACGGAAGGAAAGGCTGGGGGAAGTGTGTTCAGGCAGAGGGAACAAGGTTCCTGATGTGCAAACCAGCTGTTTTAGTGGAAAGATCATAAAGCTGGCCAGTGTGACCCCAACTGAGTGAAGAGGAGACAGGGCCAGGGTTAGGCCCCTGGGGCTGGACCACCCAGGGCCTGTGGGCCCCAGATAGGGTTTGGGGTTTTGTTCTCAGGGCAATGGGAAGCTGATGGACAGTTTTGTGAGGGGGGATGACAGGATCCGATGTACCTATTTACGAGGTCACTCATCTGTGGCAGGGAGAATGGATTGGAAGGGCTGAGCGAGACAGCAGGGGGTGGTGGCCGTGGGAGGGGGAGTCGGGGACAGAGCAGGATGTGGGTAGAAGGGTGTATGGGTAGTGTGAGTGTCAGCATGAGGGAGGGAGGAAGCCAGAAAGGCCCTAACTTTGTGGCCCATGGATGGTGGGGTCGTTTATTATTATTTTTGTTAATCCTCACCTGAGGATATTTTTCCATTGTTTTTCTTTTCAGAGAGAGTGGAAGGGAGGGAGAGAGAGAGAGAACATTGACTGGTTGCCTCCTGAACTCCCTAACCAAGGGCGGGAGGGAACCTGCAACCCAGGTACGTGCCCTTGACCAGGAATTGAACCCAAGACACTTTGGTGTGCTGGACAACGCTCTAACCACTGAGAACCTCAGGCAGGACTGGGTCATTTATTAACATGGGCAGACTGGGGCTTGGGGCAGATCAGGAGCCTAGTTTGGGGCCTAAAATGCCCTTTAGACAAGTCAGGTCCAAACGGGAACAGAAGCCACTCTATCTCAGCAGAAGGAATTGGATGCAGGGATGGCTGGGCTGGTGGAGGGCAAGGCTGAGAAGAGTCAGAGGCGGGACAGTGAGGCAGCCCAGGGACAGGAAGCAGCTGCTGCCACCCCTTGGCTGGAGGGACAGGGCTCAGGCGGTGTTGCCTGACCCCAGGACTAGGGTCACAGGCTCAGAGGGAGCCAGGAGACAAAGCCACTGTCTGAGGTGCCCCAGGCATGGTGGCGAGGGGGTTGGGGTGGACACCAAGGTGGGAGGTAAAACTGGTGGAGCCCTCAACACGCCAGACGATGCTGCCTGGAAGACTTTTTGGTCCTCCCAGGGGCCGTTCCCACCTCGGCCATCACCTTGGACTTCTGAGCTCCTCTCCCCCTTGAAGACACCCACCTCCAATCCTAGCCATCTTGAAGTTGAGACTCCCCTTTCCCGAGACTTCATCCGTCAGCTGCTTTTTGGACCTTGGAGAGTTGGGCGCTGCATCTTCCCGTCTGCCGGGGCCGGCTGAGAGAATGGGGATTGATCAAATCAACAAATAAAGAGTGTGGGAAGACCGGTGTCCCACGCGCTCTGCATGCAGGAGACGGGCCCCTGGGCTCTGACCCTGACCCTTGGTGCCTCTCTAAGCCACACAGCCCGGGCTCCTCTGTGCCCCTCCTGGGCAGGAGTTGGGGTGGTACCACCATAGAAGCTCTTGTTCCCAGAAAGGACAAACCAAGGGACATGAGGGCAGTGAGGCCTTGGACTCTTCCCCAGATCTCTGTTGCAGGGAGACCTCTTTTAGGAGGGAAAACATACTTGCCTTTGTCCCAGGACCAGGTGTAATTCTGGCCCCTGACGTAAGAGTTCAGGCATGGAGACTGAAAGAGGCCCTAGCATGACGAGCTTTCTCTAATCCAAGTAGACTCTCACAGCCCAAACCAAAGCATCCTGGGAGCTTTATCTGCCAGTCCCACGGCAGCAGGAGCGCTGAGGCGAGGGGAAGTGGGAGCCGCAGACCTCCGGCCCGAGGTGGCCTCCGTCACAGGCACCTCGCTGCGAGTGTTAATGTACCTTTCTGTGCAGCTCAGCCTCGAGGCCCCAAGCAGGCTGCTTCCCCTGACATTTAGCCAGGACGTGCTGATGTTTTGGACCTGGGAGCGGATGGGTTTCCAGTGTGGTCCGTGAATGTGAGTGTTTTCAGACTTTCTGGCCGTTGTGATTTTCAGGGATTTCTCTGCCTTCATGAGCTGATGGTAGCACCTTACCTCCAAGATGTGACTGAACTTGTATTTACTGAGTCCCGGTGCTAGACAGTTTGCGTGGCTTGTTAACTGCTGTGGTTTCATTTGATCTTTCCATCAGCTGTATGAGGTAGGTACCATGCATCCCCTTTTTTGCAGATGAGGAAACAGGTTTTTAGCTGTTGAGTGACAGCTGTCATCTGAACCCAGACCTTCTGACTCTCAAATTCAGATGCCTGACCACCAGGCTCGTCTGTATTTTATTGTTATTAATTCCAGAGAGAGGAAGGGAGACAGAAACGTTGATTGATTGCCTCCCGTACGTTCCTGAACAGGGATCGAACCCACAGCCTGGGTATGTGCCCTCACCAGGAACCGAGCCTGCCACCACCTGCTGCTGCCTGAGTCTCAGGGCCAGTGCAGAGGTCACTCTGCATGACCAGGCGGGAACCCTTAGGCAAGGCCTCTCCTCGCTGTCACCTGGGACTTTGCCTTCCTGAGGCGAGCGTGGCACTGCGCCTTTTCTCCGGATGCAGAGCCACCCTTCTTCCAAGTCTTGTCACTGGCCTGCAGGTGTCTACAAACGCCCTCCTCCCTCCATGTCAGCCCCTCGGCCGCCCCCACTCCCTAGTAGTCACACTCCTGAATGCAAGAGGCGTCTGGAGTGTGAGAAGACCTGGGTGAGGGAGGGGAGAGGCCTGATTCTAGCCTGTGTGTGGCCACCAATGCCCTAAGGATTGGTAACGCTCAGGAAAAGGGGGAAATGTTTCCAAGGGCACCCCAGGCACTGTGCCTGGTGCTTGGCACGACTTGTAGTCGTACCAGCACCCCTGCTGGGAGATAAAGGCTTGTCCCCTCATCTTGTGGGTGCAGAAGCCGAGTCCCTTGCCTAAGACCTCAGGGCTAATTAACAGGCGAGCCCAGATTCTGACATCAGCCCGAGTTTCCACTGCCCCTCCCCATCACCTCTAAAATCACTTCCCTTTGTTAAATCGGTGTCTCCCACCTGTGGTCACTTATCTCCACACACTGTCCAAGGTGCTGGGGACACAAATGAATGGTCCCTGCCCTCATGGAGCTGACAACCCAGTGGGGAGCCCCATCATAAACAAGTAAATGATGGGGGATGTTGGGAGATGACCAGGAAAACAGCAATGACGGAAGGGCAAGGGAGGCTCATACTTGCTACTTAATGTAAGGTGGGAAGGGAAGGCCTCGCTCATAAGAGAGCAGAAGTGAAGGGACACCTGAGGGGGAAAGAATTCCAAGTTGAGGGAACAGTCAGTGCAAAGGCCCCGAGGTGGAAGTGTGCCTGGCCTTTTAGAGAAACAACAAAGAGATTGTGTGGTTGGAGTGGTGAGAATAAGGAGAAGACAAAGTTACAGAGGGAACAAGGGACAGATGGTGCAGGTCTTTGGCCCAGGTGAGCACTCGGCTTTTACTCTGTGTGGGAGGAGACATGAGAGGATTCTGAGCACAGGAGGGATGTGATCTGACTCCGATGTTCACTGGGCTCCTCTGTGGGGAAGAGACTAAAGGGGGGTGGCAGGGAGCCCTGCATTAATTCAGGCTGCAGAGGAGGGTGGCTGGAACAATGTGGGGGCGCGAGTGAGGAGAAATGAGATTCTGGGTATATTTTTAAAGAACAGGCAGAATTGGTTTACAGATTGGATGCTGGGCGAGAAAGTGACTGAGCGCCTGGAAGGTTGGGGCCTGCTACTTCTCTAACTGTGGAAGAGCGGGTTTGGGAGGGAAACCGAGTGAAGTGTTGGACATGTTAAATTTGAGATGCCTATTGGATATTCCAAGTGAAGTTGTCACTCTGGTTGGATCCACAGATCGAGAACAATTACAACAAATAACATTAACATTTGAATAGTTATCCTGTACTCTACATAAAATAATATTAACAACCAGCAACAATATTTATTTTCACGCTTGGCCTTCCCATCTGTTCCATCTCTTGCCTCCAGTAGCCACATGACCTATAGGGATTGCCCCCCGAGGACACGGGCTCGGAAAGGTGTATTAGTTCACTGACGACAGTACGTGGCAAGAGTCAAGATTGAATCCCGGGTCTGTCCAATTTTGAGACCAGAATGTTTTCTAATCTGTAGTTGCTTTTGTGATAGAGTGGATCCAATCGGATGCCTTCCTGCTCCAGAAAGCCCTAAACCTGGCAGTTCTCTGTTAGGAAACAAAGGTCCCCTGACAGTTAGAGTTGTGTGTAGGCTAAGAATCTGTAGGTAGTAAAGGAGCAGGGGCTGTCCTAAAACTTCTCTCTGAACTTGAGTGCCTGGATCCTACCAAGATGGCCTCTGGGTCTGCTTATTTTCACAATCTGGGCAGAGCTTCCGACAGGCAGCTACGGGGTGAGTGGTTTTGGTTTGTTATTGGGGACACCCTGGCCTAGAGAGGGAAGAGACTGGCCAGTGTCATCCACGGCAGGTGTGTGTGTGAAAGATCTGACCCCGAACTCCTTCCACACCTAGGCATCTTCCCCGTGTCTCCACCTTCCTCACCAAACCTCCTTCTCCACCCAGATTCCTTCCCTGGGACAGAAGATGTAGGCGGAGCTGGTTTTCAGGTTTTTATTGTGGGTGTATTTCTGGTGTCAGGATGGGCGGAGGGGCAGGCCCTCCCAGGAGGGGCAGAGGAGGCAGCATTCCAGGGGAAGGAGGGCGGGGGACCCTTTACTCTCGGATCTTCAGCTCCCTCGCCATCTGGCAGAGGCTGCAGGGCAAACAAAAGGTGAGGGCCGCCCAGTCATGCCCGATGGAGCCCTAGAGGGTGGGAGAGAGCGGTTAGGAGCCCTGCCGGGTCCAGGAGACCAGTCCCCACCCCTGGCCCCCTGGCGCCGCCCCCTGGCACCTGGATGCGATAGCGCTCCCGCATGCCGGTGCGCAGGGAGTGCAGGCCTCCGGGCAGGTAGGGCGTGCAGCAGCACTCGCCGAAGTCATCCGAGATGCGGCAGGCGAGGCACAGGGGGGCGAAAGTGCCACACAGACCTGCGGTGGGAGCGGGCGGTCAGGGAGGCCCCCTCCTGCCCCCCACCTCCTGCCGGGTCCCTGGAGCCAAGTTGAAGGTCCCAGAGGGAACTGAGTGCCAGGGAGGTGAAGGTCCCGGGGCAGTTGGGGGGGGAGGATTAGTGGTTGAGAAATAGGGTATGAGGTGGTGGGGGAGGTGGAAGGTGTGAGGTCAGGACCCCAGGAAGTTTTGGGGTCCGAGGAAGGCGTGAGGGGTAGAGTGGGAATTCAGGGTCCAAGGAGGGGAGAGGGGAGTGGAGGCAGTGGGGCGCAGG